TCCGGGCTGAACGGATTAATAACAACATTCGAGGAGTCTACGTTCACGGTTTGAGCTTAATTCACGGTTTAAGGTTTAATTAGGCTTTAGAATCCAGGGCTTAGGGTCCAGGGTTTAGAGCATAGGGTTTAAGGTTTAAGGATTAATTGAGGTTTGGGTCTAGGATTTAGGGTTTCAGGTTTGGGGATCAGGGTTAAAGGTTCAGGGCGTTAGGTTCGGGCTTCAAACTTTATTTACGGGCTCAAGGTTCGGGAGTGGCCCGGGCCCCGCGAACAAGTTATCCCGAACTTGATTGCGCCCCCCCCCCCCGATTCTTCAGAATCGTACTTGTTAGGGGCGTTATTAGTCAGAACCCGCCATTAATGTTCTTTCGGTTTTTCCAGCTAGTTGGCATAAAGGACCTCTTCCCTGACTCCTGGTAAAACTGCGGGGACCGGTACAAGTGGCCAAGCCCTACGTACTTTATGCAAACACGAGCCCATGAAGCACAAGTACGAAGTTTGGTAGCTTGAGGAAGAATTTCGCTGACCTCTGGGATCACGAAGTTAGGACTAGCACCAAGACTAGCTTGTTCCAGTAAGTGTAGCAGCCGTTCAAAGAGCCTGCAGCTTAGAAGCCCTATCCGAAGGGTCAGCAACCAACACAATCACCACCTTTTGATCTGAGAACCTGAGCCTGCGATGCTGGCCGACTTGATGTAGGGGCAACCCGACAGTCCACTCTAATGAAAGAGTTTTTGGGGAACCTCATCCCCAACACTCGGACCCCACTTAAAATAATTACATGGCCCCAGGCCCCAGTTTTGGGGGGGGTATGAATTTCTAGTTCATGACACACACACACACACCAAAGAAGTTGGGAAACCAGAGGCCTACTGAGATGGAGTAGTAGTTTCTGTCCAGGAAGTCCATTGCCAGCTCCTGCCAAGCCATGCATCACAGCGTTGCAAGTCAGGACCCCAACGTGTTTACCTCTAAGCAAACTTGAAACCCCCCACAGAAGCCCTCTAGAAGGACAGCAGTCTTCTCAGGGTCCGATGGCAAAGGCCATGTTTGTTCGTGGGAGGATAGGCTTCAATGGCTTCGGAGCTTATGGATCATGACCTTTACCTGAAGAGCAATCGCCGAGTAGCAATAGCCACGAGATAAACCTAACTCAGGCCTCAATGGTTCCTGCTAGCAATAATTTTGGGATTCACCCCGCTAGACCGGGGATGGGGAGCTCTCGGGAGCGCTTAGGTGTTCTGACTCTTCTATAGACGATGCCGAACTTTGAGTCAAGGCCACGTACAGGTGGGTAGCTACCAGGTGGGTACTGTACCCTCATATTCGGCTCATATAGGGTTCCCATAGGGGAAATGCGCACCCTATATGTAGTCTAAACTCCTTTAAGGGTACCTATCTGAGACTTACCCACCTGGAGGCCGGGAGGTGTCCTGGATTGAGAGATGCACCAACAAATCACAAAAATCCAACCGAGCTTAAGCGAAGCCATGATCGGGTTCCTTCTTGCAGTTCTCCACGTCCAGGATCCACGATGCAAAAGTTCAAAGCACATGAATAGAGCTTATTACACTGAACAGGCGCTAGACCCCTAACCCTGAGATGCAGAGAATCTGCAAGATGAACAGTACCTGAAGTTCTTCACTGTGCATGTCGCTCTCACCAATCTTCCCGTGGAACCTATCCACAAGCCCACCGTAACTCAAACCAAAAGTCCACCTCTCATGGCCATGGGCTATGACTAAAATTCTGAAAAGAATTCAAGGATGCCACACAAAGCCACCAATCCTACAACAACCCAAATCCGTGGCACCTGCCTGCCCAAGAACAAGCCAAAGAACGCCGTGGTACTGGGCAAAAATGCTGCCAGAGTGTTCCATCTTGTGAACAAGAACAATGTGTCACTGGTCCTTGATCTCTCTTGGGAAGGTAGCCGAAAACATCCTCAGAGACTCGTAGTCTGTCATAGTTTTGTGGAGGCAGTTACAGGTTCAGGATCAGGGTATTTAGGGCTGTCCGGTGCGGAGTCACGAGCTGTGATTTCACGACTTGAGGTTTGTCCGGGTTTGTTGGAAAATTAGGGCACCTTTCATTGAGCACCCCGTTTCGCATGTCTTGCACGCCCCAACAAGAAATGTTGGAATGCAACAGCACAGTGTTTTCTTTCCGGTGTATTGGGTTGCTCTAGATAACGGTTCCGAATGTGAATTCGTCGTCTCCGAATGTGAATTCGTCGTCCAAAACGTGTAGCACGTTTGGCCTGTTTCGACCGCTGTGGTCGTCTGGCGTGGCTCGCAACACTGCCGCTACAATTCATCTAAAAGACCCAATGCAGGTAATATTCACGGACTTTAGGACCCAATGTAATAGAGTGTCGACGGCAGCTTGTCAATAATCCTCAACGTTTTCTGTTGTACGAAACTTTGCTCAAGATCCTGTACGTACCTCAATGGCGCACACCAAGAAAGGAACCTAGCATTACAACAGGAACCAAAAATATTGCAACCGTGCCAATTATGGCCCACTCCTGGTTTCAAAACAAAGTAGAGATTTCCTGGACCTGGGGGCCCCAGGCTATGGAAGGATGAAAAGGAGATTGCCGGGCTTTTTCTTAGGGAGTGCACTTGGGGGCTCATGGGCAGCTAGGTTGTATAGGTAGTTCTACCTTCACTTATCCTGCTTATAACCCTACACCCCGAACCCAACAAAGCGTAAACGCTATGAGAAAACCCTCCCCACATACAACTGCATGATTCAGCAAAATCCTCACTCCAAAGCTGAGTCGCATGGTCTGCCTTCCTTGTCCTGCCTGTGGCATGCCATGGTTCTCCACGATCTCCCGGATCTGAGGCTCGAAGCCTTGGGGCGTTCAAAAATGTAGGGGTTGTGGCCGCAAAGGCTTTACGTGTTTAGCAAGCGGGGTATGGGTATGGGGATTGGAATTCGGGCTGTGCTGAAGGGAGGGAGCTCTGGAGCTGGGAATGTTTGCCCTTGAGTGCTTGACCCGACAACTTGAGTGAAGCTAGGGACACTTACAGGGTCTTAAAAGAAAGCATTACACGCAGAAAGATGAGGAAATCATAGCCAAGGAGTAACCTGGGATGTTCCCCGAGTCTGCTGTTGACAGAGAACGAAAAAGATGTCGGATCAACAGTGACTTCGAAACACCAGAAACCTGAAGCCCAGTGGAAAACTCTAGGGGGGCCTGGAGACGAAGTCAAGAACCTGAAGGTCATGACTAGAGAACAGAGAGCTTAGGAAGCGTGAACCCCAAAACAAGCATTGACTCCGAACTCTAGACTGACACCAACTCATGTCCTGTTGTGTTTCCGACGCTGCCTTCGAGCTTCCATGAATGCTCAGCGGCTGTTTCCGACTGAAATGCAGCCGGCCGTTGAGACAACTTCCACAAAACTACATAATGCGCCTACTTGGACAAATGGTACAGAGCCTGTTTAGAGAGCGCACTCTGGGTTGCGCATCCAACGCCACAGCTTTAAAACCCTGAAGCGGCCCAAAGCAGAAGCTTCACAGGAAATCTCGCGGCTCCCTCGTGCGGCCAGATGCCCATCCTCTGTATGGTCATGGAGCCTCCCGTTCTAACATTTTTCATGCTCTGAAATTACCTCCCCTCCTCCAGGACAGTTGTAGCCCTGAAGCCGAAACGGCTCCAAAGCACAAGGAGTTCTTGGGCAGGCCACCCATATCCAACATGCGGTCGGCTTCATCAATGGCCAGGAACTGGACTTCCTGTCACAGGGTGTTCTTTGGAGAGACTATTTGACGCTTACGTCTACAGTTCCTCCTGTGCCTTGAATTCACAGCAAGCTTTATCAAGAAAACGTGAGCCGTACTTTGTTTGCTCTTGATCTCTGGGTTGGTGTCAGGTAGCTCTACTGCAGCAAATTACAGTAAAGGTCTCGAGCAGGCTTCGGGCTGAGGGTATACCTTACTTGCCGGGAGGCGCAACAGATCGAAAGGGCTTAGATCATCACGGGATGGATGGTGCGCTTGCGAGCCAGTATCTCATGACTCATAGAGTGGCTAGGGCTTGCATAACTTGAATAAAAGGAAACCTCATGAAAAAATGAAACTGACGCTGGGGTTATAATCAAGGATTATAATGCCAAATTTCGGCAGATGCATGCAGCAAGACCCATCCATTAGTCTAGCTGGGACATGCCAAGCTCATTGCAGGAAGGAGCAGCAGACTGTGGTCATGGCTGCATCTAATGCTATGAAAGCATCAAAGCCTGATACCCTTAATCTGGGTTGCTGCTGAGGAACTTAAGTAAAGTTACCATAATGGGTATATATAAATATAGTAACTAACCCAATATGATAGCTTAAATCAATTTCCTTAACAGCAACCAGACAGGAAAGCCACTACATTGTCCCTACATCCGAAAGTCTGAAAATCCTACCCCCGCCTCCGAAACTCCGCGTCCTCAACAGCAAAATCCTCACTTTGACTGAAGCCTAACCTCAGGGCCCCAAACGTCTGGGCAACGCTGCAACCCTAAACTCATGCGCCGTGCCTCCATCGAAATCACGCCACGATTGAGGAAGTCCTGCGCAGGCTAATGAGGCCAAGTGGCGTGTGTTAATTAGTTCGAACAGCAGGAGTATGTAGGGCCTACTACGTGAAGCTTACATCAGGGCAAGAAGGGTGCAGCCCAAGGGTGTTGGATTTCGTGACATTGTCTGCAGGAGATGTTGAAAACCTGCAACTGCAAGGAAAGAGGCAGCCTGCGTCCGGGCCACAACAGCTCCCGTTGTGTGCTAGGAGGGACACAAGCTGAGCCGAAACTCCCCCTCAGTACAGACTGCCATCTACGTACGCTTGCGTAAGTTCAGGGATAGCATTGAAGGCTTGATCTTGAGCTGAGCACCTGAAACCCTGGACGGGTTAGGGTTTAGGGGCTTGGCAACCTTCTTTATTCGTACGTTCGAAATTTTGTGTGCGTCTGATCGAAAAGACTTTACGAAGTCATGTCTGATAGGACCTCCTTCAAACCCTTGCACCAACATGCACTCACTCCCGTAGGACGCCGCACAAAGTCGCCCCCCTTGTGAACACGCCTTATTCGTTCTTGGTGAACATGGGCAAGCCCTCAATACTTTCAAACTAATTCAGGTCTTACATGCTCCCTGCACTTTGATCCCTTGTCTAGTCACCCTTACTCCCACAGACCCTACACCCCGACAAAGGTCTCAAGGAATTGCCTAAGGTGCTGTCCTCGAGTCGGCCAGGGGTGCCTCGACTGCAATTGAACAAGACTATGCTGCTCCGACTGAAGGCTTATGCAAAGGTTGCCTGAGGGTACTCGCATGTCTGTGGTTGGAGCTTTGCCATGATCAACTTAAGGAAGTTGCTGTTGCTAGGGTACATGAAGTTTCCTTCTAAGCGTGCGATGCGCATCGTAATGGAACTACGAAATATGCGGTTTGAACATGTTAGAACCCAATAGCGTGGAGATCTTCAGGTCTTCAGGCATCCCGGACTCATCACAGCAGGAAAGAACGAGTTCGGGTCTACAAATCTCAACCGTCTACTTACAAAATCATGGTTATGGGTCTGTCTCTCTCACAGCTCAGCTCCGTCATCCTTGCGCCTGATCACTTTGATGGAACCTCGCATGTATGGATTGCCTCAATTCGACTGTGCCAGCTCACAAACTCTCACAGCCCGGCCCTGATTAAACTCACCGAGCTCGTCCCAGAGCATGTGGCGAAGTTTCAGATCCCCAAAGGCCCGAAGTCAAAACAAATGCTAAGTAAGACTCCGAGCTACTGCTGCACCTGAAGCTGAAAAACTTGGAGACATAGTTTGGATCCTATCCTGCTACTGCCACATTCGCACAGTGCTCGATGGAAAGACCACGCTCCAATACACCAGAACTGAGACTCATCCTATT